AAAAATATATATATTAGGTATATAAATTCAGAAATTAGCCGCCATTTAGCGATATATTTTTAGGCTGAAAATATTTTTATAAACGTAGACATTATTATAAATAACAACTATACCCATAAATAGGTGATAGATAAAGTGAAATTGTTCGACATCGTCTAAGGGTCTTAACTTCCCCTTTCTGCGAAACTTACAGCTCCATCTTACTGATTCTCCCCATCCTACGGGCCTGTATACCTACATAATATGTACATAATCATTATGTTCATAATCAAATACATAAATCTCGCTGTCGTTTCATAACCCATGTTAGCGTTGTGTTACTTCGCTGCAGGTCCAGTTAAAACGGAGTATAAATAAAATAAAATACTGCTATATAAGATATAAAGTGAAGGTGTATTTCCATTATTGTTTTAGCAGCTGCTTTGTGTGCTTTATTTAACAGTTATTTAAATATAAATTGTAGATAGGTACTTGTTACTGGCAGTACCGGCGTTTGTATAAAATTTAGAAACTATGGTAGGTGCACGCCCTTGTTTTATTTAATCTTTATATTATATATTAATTTCCAAAATTTCTAACATTTTAGGCGTTTGAAAAACATGGTGCAGTGCCTGATGTCGTAGATAAAGCACCTACGAAAGTTCTTGAAGTTTCATACCCAAGTGGTGTTAAAGTAGATGAGGGAAATATTCTAACACCCACACAAGTAAAAGACCCACCCTCTGTGAAATGGCAAGCTGATAACAACGAATATTATCTGCTGTGCATGACTGATCCTGATGCTCCAAGTCGAAAAGAACCAGCATTTCGAGAATGGCACCATTGGCTCATTGGAAATATTCCTGGCAATGATATTTCCAAAGGAGAAGTTTTATCTGAGTATGTTGGTTCAGGTCCTCCACAAGGAACTGGTTTACATCGTTATGTATTTTTGCTCTACAAACAGCCAGGAAAATTGACCTTTACTGAAAAAAAATTAACAAACAGGTCTGGTGATGGGAGAGGAAAGTTCTCAATTCGTAACCTTGCCAAAAAATACAATTTAGGTGATCCTGTAGCTGGAAACTTGTACCAAGCTGAATGGGATGATTATGTTCCCCTTTTATACAAACAGCTTGGAGAATAACATGTAAATGTGTACCTATGTAAGTGCACAAAAATGTTCTAATGCAGCCATAAGTTTTAAAATATATTGGTTTTGGTTTCACTTTTTATTATTTCCCTTCATGAGATTATCCCTCAACAATACCTTTAATATTTATTGATCTGGCTGAAACAGTCAAATTAAAGGATGGATGATATAATAGTTCATAACAAGGACTATACTTCAGTAAAAATTAAATTTTATGTTAGTATTGTTAAAACAGAAATTACAAGTGTTATTTTTTATGTAATAGAAACACATGTTCATCATCTGACTTATTTATTCAAAACTAAAGTACAAAAAATACTAGAAATCAAGACTACATTTCATATTGCTAAACAATACAAAATATAATGATTAGCATTCAGTAACAAATAAAAAAAAAGGAAAGTGTACTTTTAAAATTAACTGTTATACTTATGGTGTCTTAAATAGTAAACAAAATGATGTTTAATGAAGTCACTATTATAAATTATTAGTTCAATTTTGAATTAAAAACCATCATTTGAACCTTACAACTATCAAAATCAAAGTTAGGAAACAGACATTTTAAAACGTTCCAGCCTTTGTTTAGCCTTTTCACTTTGGGATGTTGAGCCATTTACACTTGTCACAACTCCAAACCTTTGTTTTCTTTTTTCCAATCTTTCTTGTTGAGCTAAAGTTGACATTACGGTTGAAACAGATCCACCAAACCGATCTGCCCTTTTTTTAAGTATATCTAAACTGACTGGGTCCTACAAAAATGAATTTCTTGTTAAAATTATTAATAACCTAAATAACATTGGTTTTTTAATATTCTTTTTGGAAATACATACATTCTCTTGTGATATTGAAGAAATATTTGTTGAAGATGAAGAATTACTACTAAACCTTTGTGATCTTGCAGCTTTCTTTGCTTCATCTGTTAAAGGGACTCCAAATTTTTTTGCTCTCATTTCCAGTCTCTTAAATAATTATTTATTTATTGCTTTATTAAAGAACTAAATACAATAAATATTTACCTCTTTAACACTTAACTGTGATAGCTTTAAAATTTTTTTATCTTTCGTATCTGATTTTTCTTCTGGCACTTCATGATTTTCTAATTGTTCTTCCAAAGCTGATGAATTTCTTTTCAGCACTACTTTTTTTGCTTTACTTTCTGATTGTTCATTACTTATGACTTTTTCTTGTGAGATGTCTTTCTTTAATGCTGTAGGGGGTGTTATATTTTCATCTAAATGAGCATCAATATCTGTTAAAACGGACTCAGATCCATCCATAGGTTCATGATCCAAATCATCATCCTACTCACAAAATAATCTAAGAATAAATTTTGACTTCATTAACAAGTACTTACATTCAATAAGTCTTCATCTAAATCATCTGCAGATGCTGCACTGGCAGCATCATCTATTTTAATTTTCAATGCTGACTGCAGTCTTTCTAACAATTCTTGTTTGTTTCCAGATGTACTTAGACCTCTAGCTTTCAATTCTCTTTTCAAGTCTGGCACCTACAATTCTAAATCTATAATATTCACTTCGATAATTTCTCTATATTTACTTTTAGTTTGGAGATATTCATAACTTCTTCTAATATGCTGTCTTCCATCTTTGAATTACGCAGCTAATTCAAGGTAAATTCAAGATAATTATTAACAAATCGTGACAATACACTATTGTAGACAATAATTAATTTAGTTACTATCAAATAGCAGTAGAAAAAGACCATCAAATACAAATAAAAACAATATTCACATGCGGCACCTGACAACTAATCTAACCTTAAAGTTAAATTATTTGTTTACTATTAACTATTTGTTGTTAGCAAGCAAAACTCCCGAACCAAATACCTCTTTAAGATTTTTGTTAATAATTAATCACCATTATTTGTACTATAATCTTAGAAGAATAATCGTAAGTTACTTTACAATTATTACATTACGTTTTCTATTATTTATTGTTTAGTACAGACCATAGATAAGAGATAGGGACATTTACAGAAAGGAGTGTTAAAAAAACATACAGGGTGTTAAGCATAAACCGTCAAATCCCTGAATGATCCACAAGTTAGCTCTATACTTATTATCTACTGATTTGGTCATTATAAAAAAAGCTAATGTGAATTAATATATCAATAGAAAAACATCATAAATTAATTTTGAAATTATAATTATATAGATAAAAAAAAAACCAATATTTCACTGACGATTAGCCATGAAAACCGCATAAAATAAAAAGTTAAAAAATGCATAAAAGCGTTTTACAAAGAATTAAAAGTCAAATAATGCACATTATCTTTATTATTACTGACATTTTCGATACAAAATAATGTTCAAGTAGTCTCAGTGTTTAATAAATAATTTTTTTATTCATCGCGAGTTTCATGTTTATTCTACCTGCAAATTCGCTTAGGTGGTGGAGGCATTAGATCACAGTCATCATCAAACCTATATCGTTCGATAAAATCTAACAATTTCTCCTTTGTAACGGGATTGCGAATACTATGATATACAGCTGAAAAAAGATATACATATATATATAAAAAAATCGAAAGTAAATTCATTAAAAAAATTATACCCATTGCAGTAGTATAGCTGTTCGGAAAAGACTTATCAGTTCTTTCTCTCATGAACTTCCATTGGTCATTTTCATATTTACATTCAACAATTTTCCCATCCAGATCTTTTAATTGCTTTGTGTATTTCATTGTACTAAATGGCGCATTTAATTGACCTACATAAAGTTGGCATACTTTTCTTGGTACAATTCTAAAAAATTTTAAAAGTAAAAATGTTGAATAAGTTTTTACAAATTACAAAACACACATATGTATACAGAATAATTATTGATCTGTAAAGATCTTACCCTGCGCCACTTTCTTCCACTATTCTCAGTCTAAAGTCAACTGAATTCAAATCTTGAGGTTTCCATTTAAGTACTTCATCACATCTACCAGCCACATATGGCTAAAAAAAATTAAAAATAAGTTATTAAATAAAAGTGGTCAGGAGAAGTTCTTTACTTCTTTTGCTGGTTGAAAAATTAAACCATCAGGCTCATGGGATAAATTTTTTGCAAATTTTTCTCCTAACAGACTAGCAGCTTGAGTTATATGCCAAAATTCTTTCTTTCTCACACTAAATGGTTCAGAAGCCTTATTTATTAGACCCTTTTCCATTGCAGCAATACGTGGATTAATTATTTCCTTTTGAATGCATTCCATTCTGACAGTGGAAAAAGCCATTTTTCCAACATCTTTCCCTTCAAATTTCACTATATCATATGCTAAATATCTGGGTATGTCCTGACCATCAACTTTGTCAATTACCATTTCCTAATAAATCGTTTTTCTAATTATTACAATGTCAGGAATCAACTAAATTTAGTACTTACACCATCTAACAAGGTATCCTTTAGGTGTATATTTAAATTTTTTTTATGTGGAAAAGTTAGGCCTGTAACTTTAAATACATTATGATCTCTATCAAAGAAATATATTTCATTTTCCTTATGTATTAACAGCATGTATCTAAAACATTTTTTATAATTAAAGAACCAGATGAAAACTAAACAGCAATAAAAAAATATAAACCTAGTTCCATCTGCTTTCCAAGAAACTCTATATGGTTTTTGGTGTAACAAATTTATATTCTCAACACTCATGGATACTGGTTGACAACCAGGAAAACCATTACTACAATAAAGAACAGCCTTTAGCTAACAAAATACAAAATAATAATGAGCTGATATAACAGTCAATAAGAGTTAGTCAAACAGTTTAATAGTTAATAGAGAGCACTTAATATACTAGAAAATCATTTTATAAAATATGATTTAAGTTTATCTTAACACTAATAAAAGTGAAAAACAAACCCTTTCCATTCACACATGACTTGAACTTTATCTTGAAGTTGAGATGCTTTTGGTTGTTCTAGAAATGGAATAACACCAGGTACCCCCTTCATAAAAATAGGAGCCTTCATATTTCTTCTATTTCTTCTTAAATTATTACTTCTAAAACCAAACTATACATACCTTAACAGTAGCAATTTTATTTACGACTTACTGTTTATCACAGTTGGAGCTATTTGAAGATTCAGGTGATTCTTCATTTCTGTATGATTGTGAATCAGAAGAATTTCCTGCCTCATTGTCATCTATAAAAAAATTATATTTAATTATTTCAAGGCAAAAACAATATGTAAAAGTAAATATTACCAAAATACCAATCAGGAAGTGGAGGTGCAGGTGGTGCATTATCATCCTCATAGCGTCTATATAATTCCCTAATATAATCTTCCTTATAAATTCCGGGAGGTCTAAAGTAACCATTATTTTTTCATTAATATTTGTACCTATATATACATATGTTGCTTACCTAACATTGGCAAACATTTCCAGAGCAACTTCTACTCCTAAATCCATTTTTTCTACTAAATAAGATACTATTAAAAACCCAGTTCTGTTAAATCCATGAGTGCAATGAACTGCAATACATTCTAAAGGCTTTTGTAAAATAAAGTTGTGCACCATTTTTATAAAGAAAGCAGTTTGCTCTTCAGAAGGTGTTTCACCATGACCACGACACTGCATTTTTAAATATCTGCAATCATGTTCTTCTACTTCTTGTTTGTTGTAAAACCTCTTTGTGTTTGTTAAGTCTATCCATAAACCTATTTTTATCTATAAATGGTGTAAGATGAATAAAGTAATTTTATACAATACATTAGAATTAAAAGTACCCTTTTTGCTCTACAAAGATCAAACAGCATTTTAGGGGGGAACCTGCACTCTGCTGGCACTTGATCATCATATCTGCTACTTAAAGGAGTTTTAAAAGCTATAAATTTATTAACAATTAAATCAGATGCTTTTCGAGGACAATGCAGCCATCTGTTTGGAATTATTCCTGCTCCAGAACTGTCTTTATACTTGCTCATTTTCAATTTAGAACTTCCACAATCACTATGGTCTTAATTAATGCACTCTGAATGTCGTTGACAAATCATGAACACTAACTAAATTTGGAGGACTTTCAATTATAATTAAAACACTGCAATAACGATTAAAAAATTCTCCTAAATGTAAACAGACTTTCAAACTTCCTTAGCACTTATTGTTAGCATCTGCCATAAAAGTTAATCAAACGAGTTTTTATTTTCTACCATTGCTTGTCGCCTATCGTTTCTTGTCCTTCCATAGATACTTCTTATTACTTGTTCTTGGTTCTTGTCCTTCTTGTCTATCTTCATAGATAATCCATTTTTTTTTCTTGTGCGCATGTACGCAATTTAATAAACCTGTCTACGTTTGACAAGTTGATAAGGGGTTTTTCTGTAAGTAAACATATTGATTATGTTTTGTAGGTGAATTTCATTAAATAATTTACAGTGTTACAAATATAATTATACTCAACATTGCAGTACCTATTTACAACAAAAGTGATAATTCGTACTAAGTTTGTTCTAGAAACTATTTCATACCATTCTATAAAAATGTCACAAACTGTCCCGTTAATATTACAAGATGATTGTGAACAAGGAGGAAAGAATTTTGACGAATCCATCGAAGACGATTTTTCATATCGTAATAATGTTCTTCAAGCAAGTAAAAATATTCGACTTGCTTTTATCAGAAAAGTATATGGGATTCTAAGCGTACAACTTTTATTAACAGTGATTATTGCAGCAGTGTGTATGTTTACACCTCAAATTACTGGATTTGTCCAAAAAAAGTAGTAAAAAATATAATTCTGTTAGCTTTTTAACTGAAAACGTTTTTGTATTTTAGTGACTGGATGTTAATGTTATCACTTTTTGGCAGTATGGGTATACTTATAGCATTGTTCATTAAACGTAAAGATACACCTGCAAACTTTATTTTACTCACTGCTTTTGTAAGTATTTATGACAAGAGGGTACCTTTTAATATTGTAATATGTATTTATAATATTTTAGACAGTAATGCAAGCATATACAGTTGGTGTTATTGTCTCTTTTTACCCCAAAATTGTTGTTCTACAAGCATTATTACTGACGTTTATTGTTCTTGGTGCATTAACAGTGTATACATTCCAATCCAAGCGTGATTTTTCATGTCTGCATTCATGGTAATTGAAAAATTGTCATCAATTTTAACGCACTACATTTTACAGTAAATAAATGCTGCACCTACAAATATTAATCTATCTGTTTTTGTTTTAAGCCTTTTTGCTGGTCTTTGTATTCTTATTCTTGGTGGATTTCTTCAAATATTTTTTCACTCGAGTTTAATGGAATTTATAATTGGTATTGGTGGTGCCGCCCTATTTTGTTTATTTATTATTTATGACACTCAGCTATTGATGCAGGTATTATCACCTGAAGAATATATTTTAGCAACTATTAATTTATACATGGATATAATTAATTTGTTTTTATATATTCTTCGTATTTTACAAGAATTGAATCGTCAATAAATACTATCAGTATAAAAATTGATTTAATATTTTATTGAAATCATTACTAATTGTGATGAAATAATTAGAAAAAAAATTAAATGCGTTTATGGATTGTATTATTTGATGTACATACTGTATTGTTAATGTATAGATTAGTGTTGTAACTACAAATAGAACTGTTTTATTTAATAAACGTATTCACGTCGAATGTTATTTTTAATAATGATCTTAAGAATGAAATAAATTATTTATTTCAAAAAGAAAATAAACGTTTAATTTAAATAAAAACGTAAGGTTTTTTATTATTTTTGTTGTTTACTTTACTCGGAGGCATATTTGACTTTTTTATTCTTCACACTTAATTTACCCCGAAAATAAGCCCTTGTGTTCGTACCGAGTACAAATTCATATTCGGGGAAACACGGTAGGTGAATTAGTTATCCCGGAATTATATAGGTATTTAGCCGTAATGCCGATTTTATATTCTCTAAAGCAGCGGTTCTCAAACATTTTAGCCTGCAACCCCATTTTTAGGCACGTAGCAAGGGGGGCATGAGTGCTCAACCCTTCCCCCGACGTTTCACAAATTTTAGCAAATTTGAGGTTTTCTATGATAAGGGCTTTTTAAAATTCACCAAAACCTTTATAAACATTCGATAGTTTCAGTTTACTAGACTATTGAAACAGATATGTAGACTTTGCGACCGTTACTATGTGACTATTTTAAAAATTCGGGATAACTGGCAATCGAGCAAGTCCTATCTAAAAAAAAGTCTATCTCCAGCAATTCAGCGATCGCCATAAACTCACGAATAGTTACACTAAAATGCGTTGGTCTATCATCCTACATAAACCACATTCTATATCTCTTCATTCTTAGTTACGGACTTGTTGTTTTATGATAAAACCAATGGCATAACAAAAGAGTGGCAGAACGGGCAAAATTTAGTAAAAATATAAATTTTGTATTTAATCAATTTAACTTAGGTATTAACTCAGGAACATACCTACACGAATTAAACAAATAAATTATCAGGATAAATAATATTATAAAACCCTTATCTAAGAAATTGAATAAAGAAAAACTTGAGTGGTGATCTGGGAAAATTGGTTCTAAAGAAATATATGAGAAATGATGTAGGTACCAATATTAATTTCAATAAGAATAATATTGATCTTCAGAAGGATACAAGGGGTATTAGTAACACTTACAACAGAATTTTTAATTGGTTTACGTAACACTAATGCTAGAATTTAATTATATATATAACGTTAGTTACTATTATTTAATGTCTAGATTTAAGAATTGTTAGCGCAACTTTAATCTTATTATGTAAAAATGTGTCTCTGATGCAACTTAATTATTCTAGCTTAATTTTAACAATCATAATCAGTATTAGTGGTAATATTTTAGTTAATATAACACCTAAGTTTTTCTTTTTTTTTTAATTGTCAAGATTTGAACACATTCTCGAGAAAAATATACCGCTCAGTTTTACAACGTATCAATTGCGCTAAGTTCACTTTTTGTATAGGGGCGCTCCTTTGGTGCCGCGGGCTAATGATGTTAGGGAGATCCCCGGCTTCTATTTCTAAAAAACGTTCATGCGCATACGTTAGTGTCAAAAGAGTACCTACTTTTTACGAAATTTATTTGGGTTTCGAGAAAACTTTTAAAATATAACTATAATTTTAATATTAAGGGAGGGCCTCATCTGATGAATTTGCCAAATGCCTCAGATGGTATAGTTATGTAGTTACGTCACTAGATGGAACATTCGAACACTTTGTACTCGATGAACCCAGTGTATTCCGCTTTATTAATAATTTTAAAAACTTTAAAATGGAAATATCTATCGTCTTGTATCTTCAAAACAAAGTGATTTTCCGAAAATAATCAAAGGACAAAATATTCTTAGAGTAACCCTGTTTTACCATGTCTTTAATAATCACTACTCCAAAGACTTAACATTCATATATTGCATAAAAATGAAAACTAATATGTATACTATCACTCAATTTCTTAATTTTTTTTATCTAGCTCATTTAAGAACAATTAATTTAGAAAGCAGGCTTATTTATTACATTACATACATATAGGTAGGTATGAATTATTTTAATTAAGAGGAAAGTTGTACATCAACTTCCGTGTTTCAAACAAAAACGGGCAAAGAAGGGTTTAATTCAACGTTAGAAAGGTTATTAAAATATATTGCCACCCCGGGACCTGTTCATTAACCTCCTAAGCCGATATTAAAACAGTTTAGCTGTTCAGCAATTAAAAGATGTTAATCGAGTTATGATTATGTGCCGCTAAAATTATTAATTTTAAACATAAACTAGATCGCACGTGGCTTTACGACGTATATTTCCATTGTTTTTATACGTCTATATACACCATTGTATTAATTAATTTATACATTTTGTGTACCTATACCAATCATAAATTTCTTTTTGTATTTATTTTACAATATTTTTAAGGTATTTTAACTTTGCAATTACTGTTAACGTATGTTCATGATTTTTGTTTTATGGTTCCTTATGAAGGCTTCATTTATTTATTTTATGTCGTACGTTAATGGATGTGGGAGGTAATGAGAAGTACGTATCTATAATATAAGATAATAGTTATTATATAGTAGAATTATGGGGAACTTTAGATCTTACTGCACAAGGGGATAGGATGGGGACTACAAAAAATGTTATGTATGTGTGTGAGGAGGAATCTACAAGTAATAACCTTCATGATCATGAGTTGCGATCAATGAAACTCTTACCTTAAAATCCTTTATTCAGTGGGTTTTGGGAAGTTACAGATTCGTTGAATTTTCTCTATAAAAGAAATACATTTTTTTCAAATAAAAAAGAATGAAAAAATGAGTTCATAAAATTATTTATAACAAATGGAACGCATTAACTGCAAGCAATAAACTGTAAGTCGGAGGCTGTCAGTAATGGATTCTCGCAAGTTTATTTGTGCCGCTAGAATTGAAACCTATATTTCATTGGTGCCGATAAAAACAAATGGCAACTCACTTATGAGAAAATTGACATAAGCGCGGGGAAGCAATAACAGTGTCCCCCGTGGAGCTGCGACGGCATCCAGTCGCGACGCCTTACAAAAACAAAGTATTCTCATAACCCTATTACGGATATGGACCAATCTTTAACAACGTAGAAACATGAAAACTGCATTATTACTCTGATTAGTTGAAAATTTATCGTAGAACAATAAATGTCCAAACGCCCTATCTTAAAATATCTAATAAAAAAATAGAAAAATGCAGTGTACTCTCACATTCAAAGTGAAACTTCTACAGCGAATTATAACAGTTTTTCGAAATATTGTTTTTATTTATTTAAATAATTGTTTATGAAATTCTTGGGTGGTGCTGTTCTTCCTGCTTGCTCTATTGTTCAAGTATCTCCAGGGTCCGATCTAGCAATTTAACCGCTCCGGCTAAAAATAATGTTTGCCGCCCTTCACAAAGACACCATATAAGTCATGAGTAGATATGTTATTCCAGAGATGAGATGGTGTAATTTTGCAGTTGCCAAATCGAACTCGGGAAATAGATAGTGTTCAAAATGCTTTACAAAAGTGAGGACTTGGGTTTAGTTAAGGATGTTTGGGAGGTAAGACAAAATGCTACGAGACAAATAAAAATTTTGAAGAACGTTCCTCATTTAATTCTAAAACTCCTGTAAAAATTACAAATCGATTCACTAAACCGTTAAAAAGTTATTGAAATTTTAAAAAATTGTAATTTTACACGTCATTTTATGGAGATTCGTTAACCGAACAGATTAAATTTATTTTTATTAACAGAAAAAAAGCTACCAGAAATTTCAAACTTTTATAATAAGTAACTTGAACTCTGGAGAATCACTTTAGCGTAAGGTTATTCAAATTCACTAAATGGTTATCGAGGAAAAAATGAAAAATTAGCTGAAAATCTCGTTTTTACTTGATAATATAATGATAATATTTATAATTGTCTGAAATAAATGCAATTTTAAAGTTTTAATTATTATTTAAACATATTAAAAAGTTTTACGCTCATTATTAATAGAGATTGAAACTAAATATTTTTTTGTTTCGAAGTTGAAATCAAGGCATATTCACTGCCAAAAGTCAGTTAAAAATTTTCCATATTATTCGTTATTTCTTATTTTATTCAAAGTTTTTGGTCAAATTCCAAATTTTCTTTCAAACCATATACTTTTTTTAGTATAGATAGTATTTATTTACCTCATGATATGCTGCAAAACCTAATTAATCACGAATTTCTAATTTTATGTACTCTTATCTCCGATTGTACCTCCCAAACATCCTTAAGGACAAGAGTGAGGTAGACATAAAGTAGACAGTATCTTTATTAATTATTTTTATGAAATTATACTAACTGTAAAGCTACTTTAACTCCGCCTGCAGTAAATGTTGAGTTGTACTCAGTAATTACTGTTGCCGGTCCCAAGCCCGGATAAAGGAGGAGGGTTCCCAAGAATGGTTTGAGACCATCTTGAGGGTAAAACACAATGGGCAATACGCCCGATGAACAATAAATAGATACAATCTATCTAATAGGTACACCTAAACGTGCAAGAATAACTATTAAAAATATTAAATTTAAATAATCGTTTTTAATTGATATCTAATTTATGCTACTATCTTATTTTTTAATTCCTTGTCATAAGAAAATTATTCTACACAAACAAATAGTGCCTAAGACGTCCTTATTTTTCATTTGTTAGAGATATACTTTTTGCTTAATTTGTTAATCATTTGAAAATACTTAAACAAAAAACAAATGCTGACCTGAACTAGGTTTAAAGGCCGTCGTCGATTGGAGTTGCTTCCTAACGTTTCGCTAGCACGAGTGGCTAACTTCTTCAGAGGTATGGTATTACATCCAGCATCGGAGATGGAAGGACCTCTGAAAAAGCTCGCCACTGGTACTAACGAAGCGCTAGGAAGCAACTTAAACACACGTCGGCCTTTAAACTTTTTAAACAAAAAAGTTTACCAAAGGTTTAATTGGTCAAAACTTCGAAATTCCTAGCAAAAGGTAGTGCGAAAAGTGACTTTCAACTTGTTTCAATGATTTTCTACTATAAAATCTTAAGAAGACATGTTAGCAATTTCCACCGTCGTCTGATGTATATCACGTTGAATAACATTAGGGTTGCGACTGTAAATTACTAATT